ATCATAGCACATTTAACAGGGGGCTAATCCAATCAGGTGGGATAACAGGGTTGCTCTCAGTGAGTGGAGGAGGATCAGGCGAGTGCTCCTCTGCTTCCCATTAGTGTGTGTCTCCCCAGCCGGGCCTGTCCTAATCCCATTTCCCCATCTAAAGCCTTAACCCAAACAAGCACGCAGGACAATAATCTCCGGTCACACTTCTGTCGGCCGCCGTGGGCCTTCTGATGCTGCTAATGGAGGGATACCGGCAGTAGTGCCAAGAGACTGCCAGGGGGGACTAGATGTGGTTTGTTGTTTGCCAAAGAACCATTACATCCACAGCTTTCTTTCTCTAAAGCTTCTCTGCTGTTTGTCTATTTCTCTTTTTAGTAGTGCTGTTTATCTGTTGGTGGTTTGTGTTTCCTCCGTCCCACCAAACACATCCACAAGGGTTCTGGTCCTCGCAGGGATCACTTTTCCAGTTTGGCGTGTCAGCAACGCTGTTTCATAAACACATTTGATTGTAAGTAATCCTGTTGTCCACAACGCTCTCATTTCCATGAGAACTATTTAAACTCTGCATTGTGAGGGACAAGGGGAAGGATTGGAGCTGAGTGGATGCATCATGTGCAATGGAAAAGAAAGTCATTAGACTTCATTTTAGAGGCCTTACATTGAAGAAAAAAAAAAGGGGGAAAAAAAGGAGTTTGGTGAGAAAGATCTTTTGGCTCTCTGTCCTTGTCTTTCTGTCCCAGTCAAAAGCACATGTGCCCCAGATGCAAGGTTCTGATCCAAACCCAGGCTCATCGAGACGCCACCCTGTGTGTATCCCAGATCGCTTACACACTCTCCAAAGACTCTTGGAAAAAAACAGTCATCCGCAAGTCTTATTTCTTTTGGTTTCAGTGAGAAGAATGCAACCCGGCTTTCTAATGAATTCCAACTGCAATGTGTTCAGGACAACAGCGGGTAGCTCAAATAATCCCTCTCAGCTAAGCAGCTACATATGGATCATACTAGAGATGTCAAAGATCTGATCGCGAATATCAGTTACTGGCGGAGGCGTTCCTTTGTGTGTGGATGACCCTGACTCAGCTCAGTTCCCACTGTCTGGTCTTCTGTTACTGTCAATAGTCATGTCTCCCCCACTCACCACACAAACCGGCCGCAACTTCTGCAGTTGGTTTTTAAAAATCGACGCTTAACTTTTATGTTCATGAGTTGCAAAACTCTATTAGAGGTTGTGCTCTTTATTTTGTTGGTTTTATGAAGTGCAACTGTGAACAGTTTTGTACTCCTTACAAGGAGCTTCACAACGAAATAAAGACTATCCTGGTGTCAGTAGCCTCCTGTCTGTCCCTCGGCCTGCCGCGGCAGCTGTGGGTGAAAAAGTGAGCAGCTGAAACGTTAGTAGTTCAATTTTATGATGTTCAAAGCAAAAGGACAGAGTTTATGTAGCAGTTGTTTCCATAACTTTTGTCTGCAAGCCTCAAATTATTAACAAGTCAGCGAATGTGCTAAGTTAGACTTGCGCTTTAGTAAACAATGTTGCATTAAAACATCAGCAAGAGAGCTGTGTTTATTGAAGATTGTAGCTGAATGTGTTAAATCATTTAGTAACTTGTCTGGGGACAAATATCTGGTAATGAAAAAAAATAAATAAATAAAACCCAAATAGACCAGCATTTGGAAATGTCTTGATGAATGAGCTAGTTAGGCACATTCTCAATACTTAAGTAGACCATGTAATGACGAAAAAAGAAAATGTAATTTTTTAAAAGTACCATTGAAATTTATGACATTTCATTGCCAATTTCACTCATGAGTCTTTTTGGAATGACAATAAAATAAGTCTAAGTCTACTGAGTTTCCAAGCAGATATAAGCATTTTTATGAAATTGGAATAATATTGAAAAGTTGATTTACTCTTGTAATTTAATTCACTAGGTGAAAAACATTATATACATTAATTACACACAGATTTACTGTATTTTGCTCAGCCTTTGTTTCTATTAATTATGATGTTTCACTTCCAGCTAATGAAAACCAACATTTATGATTAGAAAGCTACAGACCAATCTTTTAATACAGGTATGTGGACTGAATAATTGTGCTTATTGCATGCTTTAAGGTTATTTTCAAGAGATACCAAATGTCCCTCATTGCAATGCATATTTGAATTTATTAAATATGTCATTGGTTTTAGATTGCAGACTGGGACTGGCCATCGGTACCAACCTATTCTTCAAAAATCTTGGCCTGCACTTCTTGTGGTTGAACTAAAGTGACTTGTTGGCATAAATTTTCATTTGTCTTTGTAATGTGCCTAAATATGATGTTTTATTTTTGTTTTTCACAGAATAGAAATAGCCTTATTTGGTAGTTTTATCAAAATCTGTCAAAGCACAGTCAACCATATGACCAAAAGGAAGCTCTTTTGTTAGATAACGAGAACATGGGTACACATTCATTGCACTTGTGACTTTGGTAATCAATATGAAACTTATACAAAAGCAAAAAAAAAAAAAAGATGTGCATGCACATCTCAAAATCATCCATCAAATCTGCTTGATAATTTTGTTCTCTGATGTTGGTAATTTACAATCACTTATGGCTGCATGATGATGAAGCGGTTGTTTTACTAGCAAACCCACTCCAAAAAGTTCCCTTGGGAGAAAGGAATCATCAATATTATCCTGGATTGTTTCAAAATTGTTGACAGCTGTGGTATGTGGTTGCTGGAGAAGAATGTCTGCTATCTAAATGATCACAAGTAATCAGGTCTCAAAGTCAGCCACCTGCAAAATGTGTGACCTGATTTTACCGCCAACCTTTTCCGTGAACATCAAGGCAGATTTTAATACTAGTTAGTCACCAGGTTATTCACCAAAAACATGTCTATTCGTTTTGTCTGAGATTTGAAGTAATAAAAACTAATTGCTAATTTTAAGCAACGGCACTCAAAGTTACGTTGATGGAGATTAATGGAAACAGATTCACAAATGAATCCCCTATATAGAGCTGGTTCGTTTTTCTTTTCTTTTTTTTTCCTAACTCATTTTATCTAAATAAAAATGAAGTTGTTCGCTTCTCACCTCCCGAATGTGTGTTGTATTTTTAAGTGACAGCACAAATAATTTATTGATTTTGACTCGAATGAAATACTTTTCTGGCAAAGGTTACGCTACTCTTAACTGTTATTGTCATCAGAAAAGTGCTCCCACATGCTGTGGTGTCATTCTGAGAGTCCTGTCAGTCACTTTGAACGCCCCAGAAGTACGAGGACTCCTGCGAAAGTTGTGCAAGGACAAGTCAGAATCAATATCTGCATTTTAAACAAGTCCAGCAAGTGCGATCTCCGTCTCTGTCGGTGCAATAACACAGATAGAAAAACCTGCAACTCGGTTCCCATCATTCATGTTAAGGAGCCTTTCAGTACATCATCAACATTGTTTATGAAGAACATACAACTGCAGGACATGGTGTCTTTGACGATGTTTATTCTAGTTTAGAGACCACTCCACTCAGATTTTTATTGACTTGTTTTAAATTGCAACAGATTTGCTTCTGACTGGAGGTTAGCCTTTCACTGATCCAGGGACTTCTTCAACTTCCAGCAAATTTACTGTGGTTTGACAGCTTTGAGCTCCAGGTACTAGTCCTGATAACCCCACAGAACCGCACTTCAAACTTCGGAGCGTCCCATTTACACACAATAGATACTGCTGGTGCTATAGTTCTTGTTCTGTACCACTGGCTTTTAAATGATGCCAGTAGTAATGCTGAATTTGCATCTGTTTTCAGACAGACAGTCGTGGCTTAACGCCAGACCAAAAGGATTCCCTGTGTTTGTTGTCAAATCTCACTTGCAGTTCAAATATTCAACACCAGAATTGTCAGAAAAAAGGCATTATTCAATCCGCGTTGCAAGTGTCATATTCTTACTTAACTACCTCTAGAAATTTCTGCGCTCTGACTTTCCTATTATTTCTTTTCCAACCAAACTGATGTAACCTGATGAAATCTTAATCTATATTATAAATGCTCTGTTCCCGAAATTTCCCACCTTGCAACAACCCCCAACTCTTATGCTCATCGAGAGGATTCGCCTTTCCCATATGTCAAACCTCTATTTGAAATACTCGGTGCATGAAACAATGTTGGCATTGCATTCGCGAAGCTTCATCATCCCCAACTGTTAAGGAATTGCTTTTGCCCTCTGAACAGTGTGGTGCCTGTGGATCAATTTCCTGATGCTCCCCTTTCAAAATATACTCAGCGGTCCCGGCGGACGTGACACTGTGCGCGCGAGGGCAAAGAGAGGGAAAGGGATGGAGGAGGCGAGCCGGGCCCTGGAAGTCTCCACCTGGTGGGGCGGTTGAGGGCCAGCAAGAACTCCCCACAGAGCACAAAGCCCGCCTTGTGTAAGATAAGCGTTTGGCACCGGGAGGGCCTTACGGCACTATTTTCATAATCAGAGTCAGTTTGTTTTCTTTAGGCCTCAGAGTCTGAGGCTGTCAGGAGAGCAGCTTGCTGGCAGCGCTGGAGGTTGTGTTTGGTAGCACCGATTGAGGAGAAAAGGGTGTTTCTTAAAGGGCAGGTCAGGCGTTTTAGTGTTTACCTCCTGTTTGGCTTTATTTGCTTACCTCACTGATCCCTCCGCCCGTCAGACGGATTTTCAGCTTGGGGGTTAGCTTAGACGTACCTCCTCTTCAACCCTGACTCGAGAGCTAAATGCTCGTTATTTATGTTTGAAGGTCTTATTACAACTGCATAACTTACAGCAAAGTGTAAACAAAAATTAAAAAGCAACAAGTCGAATTTTAACAGATACGGTTGCTGACAATTGCAGTAAATATTTAATTCGTCATAAATATTTTGTCTTTGATGCTGAAATAGATCCTGCACATTTTCTTTAAGCCTTCACCATGCAAACAACACCCATGTTTTTGTTTATTTTCTATCCTTTGGCAGTGCAGTTGTGTAATATTTTGTGCATGTTTATAGTGAAAAAAAAAAAAAAACCACTGCGCAAAACATTCCGAGTTACAAGAATATTTTTCTTGGTAAAGCCTGTTTGGAAAATAGTGCTGCACTTTAATTAGAAACAGAAGATGAGATTCCTTCAGCGTGTATTCAGAGTTAACAATACGGAAAGTAAGCAAAAGTACTGTTAATTTTTTCTTCTTCTTTTTTTTTTTCCATGAAAACATGAAACTCAATTTATTCGTCATGCTTATCTAATTCCGAGTTGAAATTCCATCGGTTTTGTTACAAACAGGTTTCTTGATTTCTCTCCTCTTTCCACAGTGCGACTTGGCCCGTCAGAAGTGGCCGTCCGCCAGGACTCCTCTCAGCTCACCTCCCTGAAGATTCCTGGCTCTACAGAAACAGGAAAGGGTAATAGTGTTGCGCTGGTTTTCCTCTCTTCTATCTGGATCCCCATTACTTTCTCATTCACTGAATAAAATAAGGAGGAAAAGCAGATGTCAAATAACATACTTGTGGAAAAATGGACCCGAGCCATAAATTAAACCTAAAGTATACATTGTATTTTGTACATTCAAGTAATCCGAGGAGAGAAAAAAAAAGAAAGAAAAATCAGTTGTATCATAAAATATTTTGGAATAATATTCACACTATTTATTCCCCCCCGCCCCCCCTATTTTTAACATTACAACTACAAACTTAGTGGAAGGAAAATAATACAATTTTTTTAGGCTTTTGCAAATAAAATCCTAGAAAGTATGGTGTGCATTTGTATTTAGCTGTTGTTACTCATACTAAATAAAATCCAGTGCAGTCAGTTTCTTTTAAAATTCACCAAGTTTTTAGACAAGGCTCGCCTGTGTTCTGCATTCATTCTGACTGAGCTTGAACTGTTGTGCGGAGGAGAACTGGCAAACATGTCAGCCTGTAGATGTGAAAAGCAGGTGGAAACATACCCCAAATACTTGCAGCTGTCACTGCGGTGAAAGGTGGCTCTACAAAGTGCTGACTCAAGTGGACTAAATACAAAATGCACAGCACACTTTTTAAAATTTTATCTGTGTTAAAAAACCTGTAAAGTTGTGTGTGTTTTTACCTTTTCTTCAGAAATTCTTCTTCTATGTCCAGAATATAAAATCCAAGGGCCTCCAGCTCTTTTTTAAGCCATTTTAAGGGATTTACAGTTATAAGAAAACAAACTTTTAATTTTTTTTCCCCAAAATGTTTCCACGACAAATAAAATATTAAAATCAGATTTCATTCCCGCTAATTGTCACATGGAGCCGATTCCTCAACCCAAATATTTTGTTTTCTGAAGGGCAGCAGGGTCAAAGGACATTTTTTATGGAAGAGGGATGATGACTATCAAAAGGTGAAAAAAAAACAAAGTGGTCATTCGTCTGAAACTAAAATATTGCAGTGAGAGGGTCATCAGTGTTCTCTGTCTCTGCTGAAGCTGCAACGTCTCTCCAAAAAGGTGGACAAACACGCAGTCAGACGCTCAAAAGTTTCCGAGTGTTTAGAAGTCACTTCACCCCTGGCCAAGCCTGTGGTGAAGCCACCCAAGTCTAGTCATATCAGTGGGATCTGCTAACTAGCCCCCGAGGACACTGCCAGGTTTTTATAGTAAATTGTGGAGTGAACCACAACTAAATAAAAAGAAGATAGGCTTCCTCTGACTTCATAGCATTCTGTGGTCTACATTTTCCTGTGAGTTCTGTTTTGCTTTTGACTCTTTCCATCCTCGGCTTCTCCTTTCATCTTCACTCAAAAATGCATCTGGATGAACCATTCCTCTTCGTAGCGTTTTGCCAGTCTCTTCAGCTCTTTAAAACAGTGTTTTGACGTTACAGGATCGAAACCAAAGATTTAGTATGATGAAAGTCTTAATCTGTTCAAGAAGTCTGTAAGTTATCTGTAATCACAATAGAGCCACAAATATTTTTCGTAGATTGCAGGGTTTTCTTTTTCTTTTTCTCTCTCTCCCTTGTTCTGTTCTGCGGCTCATCCAGGCAGTAAAATATGATCATCTTATCTCGTTTTGTATCTGAAGGGAGGCAGTGGCGAGGGCTCGAGAAAACTCCCGCTGAGCACAGATGTGGACAGCTGCAGCCAAAAGCACCAGCTCCGTTTGCCAAAACACAACTGTAAAACTCTGCCTGCAATAAGTAACCATGAAACCAAAACATCTCTTTTTTCTAACTGTGGGATCAGCCATGAACCTGAGTCACACAAGGGGACTTCAGGGGACCACTCAGGCCTGATTGAGTGGAAAACCTTCAAGTAAGCGAAGTTTATATTGGACTAAGGAACTTGTGTGCAGAATGAAGTCATTCAGCATACAATGTAGTTTCATATATTTTCTCTTTAGTATCGTGAGGCACCCATCCCAAAGAGGCCCGGTCAATGAATACAGATGCGCAGCATAACATTACTGTAAACTTTCTTTGGCCCGCATCAGACCACGATGCATATTTTTTATTTTACCATTTTCAAAAACAAATATGTGAAGTGCTGAGTTTTGCTGTTGCTGCCAGTGATTTTCTCAGCCCGGTGCCCAACTGCTCGGCTCCGAGGCCGGGTGAAGGAGAATAAAGTACAGGCAGTACTTTCTCATTCCCAGGATTGACTTCATACTTTTGCTCCAACCCGCTGTGGTTTCACTTGATATGCAATGTGCAGCCATAAATTAGGTGAAATTCCTGAATGATCAGTTTTGTTTAAATAGTAAAATGGTAAATGGCATATACTTTTACAGCGCTTTATCAAGTCTACAGCATCCCAAAACGCTTCACATACACACACACACTCACACGCTGACGGGGGTGTAAGCTACTACATTGTAGTAGCTACCACAGATCTCTGGTAGAGGTGTTGCACCGGCGTCACCAGGCCCGCTGATCACCCCCAGCCGGCAAGGGGAGTGAAGAGTCTTGCCCAAGGACCCAGCGATGGAGACGGGTTTGAATCAGCAACCCGCTAATTGCAGGTTGAACTCCTACCACCCCTGGAAATTACAGAATTTAAAATTACTTAAAAAAGATCATTTATGAATCACAAAGAACCTACGGTTTTTAAATTTAGTTTTCAAATAAGACAATCGTTATGTTTCTTTTTGCCATTTTGCCAAAAAGTGTTACTACATCAGATCGATTCTTTCCTCGCTCGTTTGGGCGAGCAGCCATGTTTCAGTATAGGCTCAGAGTCTTGTTATACCTTTTTTCCAAAATTATTTACTGGTTGGGTGACTGGAAGGCAATTGGTTGTACTGGATTTATTTAAGGGTATTAAATTGAAGGGGTTGGAATCACAGCATTTCACCATTTTTATCTGTAAATCACATCTAACAACCACATTTTCCTTTAACTTCATGAAAACAGACAACTTTGTTTGGTCTATCTACAGTAACATAGAGACTACCCTATCAAGTTTCTTTTCTCTCTGGCTATTTCTCTGTTGCACACCGACTCACAAAGAAACACACACACACAGCGTTTTTTTTTTTTTTTTCATCCGGCCGTTTTCTCATGTAATGTGACCTGGAGAGGCGCCAGAGAGCCCGTGGAAGGTCTGTGGCCTGAGGCCTGCCGACACCTCTTTGCAGTCCTGTTGAAATGTTTATTTATAACTCTCTTCCAGCTCCACCTCCCTCTATCGTCTGCCAGCCACCATGCCAATCCAAACACACCAGGCCTCTCCAGACTGATCCAGAGCATGATTTCAGAAAGAAGAGAAGCCTTTCCCTTCTTCCTTCCCCCCCTCCCCTTCTCCAGCCCGAACTTGCCCACCCTTTCCTGCCTCCCACTTTTCTAAAGAGTGACACTTTGGGAGAGAGAACTGAGCGCACACTGAAAGCGAGAGGAAAAGAAGGAGGAGGGAGGGCTGGATGGATGGATAGAAGAAAAGAGGAGGGGGGGGGTGTAGAGGTTTCCTCCATGCTGCAGAGGCTGCTAAATTGGTTTCAGAGCAGCAGTTGGACTCCGGGGATGTGTGGCACACACTGCCGACTAGCTGTGTTTGCTTTTGTGGGGTGTAGGAAATTTGATCACTATCCTTGTTGCCAACCCACATCCCACCCGTCACCACCACCGAGAATGAAGGGGGGGGGAAAGAGGACAGTCATTCCTAAACAGGTATCAGTGATACATCTGTAATAGGAATAACAAACATTAAGTCAGGGTAAAGGAAAAAGTGCACATTTCACTCAAATGTTTAATGGTTACATCATACCACATGAAGAATCATCTTGTTAGACAGGAAGTAACTTGTCTGTGGAAGGTGGAATGATATATTGAATCCCTGGTGAGTCCAAGGTTGAAGGCTCACTAAATGTGTTCAACTGGGCCGGGCCTTCCAACGCCGTGCAGACTGGCAGGCAGAAACGGGGCCGTGGGGAAATGCAAGTCACCCAGGAGATCTCAGGTGCTTTGAGGCCGAATTTCTGCTGCCGCACAGCTCACTGGGAAAACTCAAGAGCAATCTGCTTAAGGAGAAAACTTTTGTCCAAAACAGCTGTTCCAAATTATTAACATAAGTTATTCATTTAAAAAAAAAAAAAAGTGTCTTAGTTTGTTGCCCGAGGAAGAACTGCAGTTTAAAAAAAAAAAAAATCTGAAATGTTTACCTTCTCGTAGCTGCGTGATGGTATAGACGTCTTCGCAACGCGGCCCTCTCTGACTCAGCCGCCGAGACCTTGGAGATTCATCTGCAGTAAATGTTGAAATATCTCCCAGCCATGCGAAAAGAGAAACATATACCATATTATTTCCAGTCAATCAAAGGAGCTACTGACTGCTGAATAATACATAATTGCATCAAATATTTAGTCCAACCTCAAAAAGTGGAATAGCAGTACATTTGAAAAAGGCCTATTTGTTCAGAAGACAATGTCCATGCAATTAAATGACGTGGGCAGTTTTAAACGTCATATCATAAAAAATAAAATAAAAAGTTGGCAATAAGGCATATGCAGGTGGCTTGCAAAACACAGATTTTCAGCTGGAATTTTTTTTTAATACTTTCAGAAGAGTAAATTATTTTCCATCTCAGTTTGTGCAATACATGTGTGGACAAGAGACCTAGAATCGATGAGAAGTAATGGCATCGATGCTCTCTTTGCATGTGAGTACTATTTTTTTCTGTATTGGGGGGGAAAAAATAAAACAAAGAGTGTTTTGTTTGTTGAAGACTATCTGGGCCCAAGTCACCGCTTCCATAAAGCACAAACCACTTCTGTTTAATTATCACTGCTTATTAATGTGTGTCTGTTTCAAACACGTCATGCAGACGCCTTATGAGCATGCATAAAAATTGAGCCGATTTTAGCGCCAGGTCTTCATTGCTCTCTCAAGACAGGTTGCTTGCGTTGCATCTGAACACACTTGCCTTAAATTGCATGTATATGATGACAAATCCTTTATCTAATTTAGCGTGTGTTTTTGCAGCCCGCGACACATTCTCCTAGTGAATAAATGATCCACCGAGTGTTATGAGGACTTCGTATGTGTGTAACTGTCCAAGTACGGGCGCATTGAGACTGCAGAGAAGTTGATTGCGGTTTTCTGTTTGTGTGTTTGTATTCCTGTTTATCATGAACGAATCCTCTGGGGCTGCCGTCTCCACAGTAACCATCTCTCTTGGTGGTCTGGCATTAATAGTCTGTCTGGTGTTGATGATTTAGATATGGTGAAGGACAAAATAGAAATACTTCAAAAAAAAAAAAAAGAAAGAAAGAAAAGTTGGCCCGTAAAATCATTTAACAACCTGGAATAATAAACACCTCAACAAGTAAATGAATAATCAGTAAATCAAGGGGTCAGTTTAAGCAACCTTTTTTTTTTTTTTTTTCCCCCCATGCTTCCTTGTGTGTTGGTAAGTGTGTGTGTGTGTGTGTGTGCGTGTGTGTGTGTGTGTGTGCGCGTGTGTGTGTGTGTGTGTGCGTGCGTGCGTGTGTCTGCCTGTGTGTGCATTTGAGCATTTGGTGTTTGTTTTTCCTCTTTGTCTCATTTCTCCCCCCACCTCTCTGGAGTGAAGAGAAATTGAGAAACCAATCTAAAATCCATCAGGACTTCCCTGCCCACAAGCCCCTCTCCCTCTAAACCCGCTCCTCCCCACCTTCTCTTCTCGCCCAACCACCCAGCACCCAACACACACGCACACACACACACACAAACAAACCACTCTTGTTTTTTTGTGTTGCAGGCGTCTGGAAATTGGATGAGATGTTCGTTTAGCGGGCAGCTGGTCTGGGGCCGATATGAATTGCGTTTCCCCACGCCAGGAAAGGTCAAGCCCCCTCGCCTTGACGGAGTGCATCAGCCTATTGAGTGGCGCTTTAGTCCATTTACCAGCAACCAATGGCACGACGGCGCATGGGAGAGAGCGAGGCACAAAAACTCTGTGTAGTAAAGAGAAAAGAATGACAACACGTCAGATATAAATTCATTGTTTCTCATCACCCAGCTGGGGCAGGAATGGCTGGGAGTGATTGCTGGGGTGGGGGGAAGTGGGAGAGGAATACTGCCATCTGAGTGGGCTTTGCATGTGTGAGAAAAGAGATGAGCACCCCTCCTTTACCAGCAGTGACACAACATTTGCCTTTGGTGCAAATGTTTAAAACTAAAACATGCAAAAAAAAAATAGGTAATTGTGGGAATTTGGTTAAAAGAATTATTGAGCTTTTTTTTTTTACTATCATTTACCAAGTAACAGAGTGGTTCTCAAACCATAAGGTTTTTAAAACTCCCCCCCTTTATTGACACCTATAACCTACATAAATGTACTAAAAAAAAAAACCTGAGATGGTAAACCCTTGTTTTTATGTCATGTACTAACTGTATAATCTTAGAAAAAACATGAAAAAAATAAAAGAGGTGTATGTGAAGAAGTGTAGTCAATGTCAAGAAAGTTGATAAGAAATCCATTAGCAGACAGTTCAGTTTTCTTCCTGGTGGATTTTATTCTTTGACATTTTGTTTTTATGACATCATCAATCTCCCAGCAGCCAAAATCTTACTGGTTTTACACAGAATTGGAAACACCCTGGCATTTCATCAGTGTGTACCATTAGAAAATAAGTCAAACCACATAACAAAATCTTAACAAAGAAACAGCAATAAGGTCATTAATTCACAAACTCATTTACCTAAATGGCATGGTGCAAGTTAAAACATTTAATGCAAGGCAGCTGAACAGATTACTTAAAAAAAAACAATGCAATACAAAAAGAAAACCCTTCACTTTGTTCTACCCAGTGATGCAATCAGTGACATCATGCACCAATTTAAGCAGAAAATGCTGGCCCGTCCCACACACCTGTTCTGGCTTTGTAATCTAAAGGGACAAACAATGGTGAGTATAAAAGAAACAAACAAAAAGAATTTGCCAAAAATGTGCATTGTAACAGAATAAATATGCAAATGGATCAACGGTTCAGTAGTGTTACCTTTAAAAAGAAACATGCACTGATGCAAAGTGCAACGTAATATAGGTAATTGAAGTGAAGTTAAAACAGCAATGTTTAAACTAAAGTAACATGATCAACTAGAGAAGGATGAGGGAATAAATAAAACATGTCTAAGGGACAAGTGGTGAATAAATACTAACTTAACCACTTTGTGACTGCAAAAGCCTGCTTTGCTGCTTAAATATCCACCCTTAAGACTACTATTAATAATCTGCTTTCTACTTTTGATTTAACTTCAACACCTTGTCTTTATTACACACATCTAACATTGATTATAGTGCATCTGATTAGCCTAATTCAGCTGTCTAAGGGGAAATGAAATCAGCTCATTTGCAGTAGGTCTTTTTGCCAACGCCATGCATCGAGGAGAAGCTTTAAATTGTCTAATCGTGCAGGTTTATGAGCCAGGAGGAGAGTTTCACTGTGTACACACCATACACAAACAATGGGACAGGCTGCACAATATCAGAAAATCATGTAATGGCAGCATCATGAGAAAATAAAGTGATGATGATCTCAGTTGCAATTGATGTAAGTTTTTCTTACTCCCGCCTTGTTCATGTATATTTCCAACTCTGTTAGTGTTCGAATCTGGGACTCTGTAATCTGTGTCAGGCATGAAAATGATCTTAATCAAACAGGCTGAATGTCTTATTGACATGTTAAATGTATAGTCATCATACTGTAGATATTAGTCAACAATTATTGCATTCTAAACAGTCTTCTACAATCTTAATGATATGTTGATGACTATATACTTGCAATATATTGTACGACAAAGTTGCTAATTTGGAAAGAGCTGAATCCGCTGTTCTCATCCCAAACTTTGTCATGTCCCTCAGTGTCTGTCGGCTTGTCTGGGGGCAGAAGGTTTAGTTTCAATTTAAATGTGGATCCAAAATAATACATTTATTTCTACAACAAAAGAGCAGATCATGAAAACTAACACTGAAATAAACCAGAGACGAACACTTAGTTCACACTACGCAACCCTGCATGATGTATTTAGTGACAAATGATAAGGTCTTTTGATTATTCTGGCACCTAGAGACCACAAAATCCAAATAAAAGCTGTCTCATCTGGAGTAAGTAGGCGTTTCTTGATACCTGGGCTTCCAGAAAACATTCATCCATCCTGCAACCGTTCATCTGGTTAAAGCTGTTCTTGAACCTTCTGTAGAGAAACAACCGCAGATGATAAACAAGAAGAATGCTATTTAGCCAAACTGTAACAGAGAAAATGCTCAAAAGGTTGTCTGGTGCCGTCAGACTCTTTGTACCTCATAAACAAAGAAACCCGATGATTTATTCATTTAAACATGTATTTATCTAATTACCTTGGATGTCCTTATAGTGATGCTTCAGAGGGGAGTTTCACTTTTGGCTCATTCTATTAAAAACAGATTTGGTACAGTCCATCTCAGGAGGTGCCTGCATATTTAGCACATTAGAGGTAAGATGGAGGATAGAGATATTTTATAACAACCAATCTGTTAATTTTATCTCTTTTAAAGCGACGTAATCCTTGATTACGTTGGCCAATCCCCTCTCCCCTCATAATACACAGTTTGTCTTTGAAAATAAACTTTCCAAATGCCTGCTTTGTTGAAGGAAATGACACACTCCCCAAGTAAAAACAGAAAAGCTGGAAACAGACATTTTAAATGTGTTGGTACAACTATTGTGCAGGACTTGTATCATTTTCTGCTCCCCCGCCCTTCCTCATTTTAATACATGCAAGAGGAAAAGAGGTTGCTTTCCCTTTAATTTTCATCCCTGCATATCTGGGGGAGTTAAGGCAAAGCAATTAAAACAAAGGCATATTTAACATGAGGTTAATGATTGGCTGACCCTGCAGTCAGCACAGTGACAATATCTTAATTATTGAGAAACCTAAAGTCATTATGCCTACGAATGGCCTGAGGAGCATCTCTATTGATTGGGATCCAGTCCCATTACAGGCCCAGCCAGGACCATTGAAGCCCTTATTATAGACACTCTCTCTTTCTTTCCCTCTTTGTGTCATACAGAAAACTTTTTAAAAATATTTAAACTGATCACTTTTATGAATTATTATTTTTTGGTTCTCGTTATTTCTACTTTATTTCTGCGACCTTGTTGTTGTTTTTGTTCATCAGTGTTTTTGTCCAGTTTGTGGTTAGACTCTTTTGGTGTAAGCCAAAGGTTCTCTATATTTACAATGGCCACTGCTATTTCTTTTTAATTAATATTTAATAATCTGAAACAAGGTATCAATAGTTTATAATATGCATGTAAGATTATACTGCTGTTTCCCTGTTGCACTGTACCATTGCATGCTTAAGTTTCCCTTTTAACTTTAGTTCATTAAAATAGTTTTAGTTTAAACCTCACCTTTAGGCTGTGTTCACATAGCAGGTGTGATGCTCAATTTTTATTTTTTATTTTTATTTTTTTGCTGAAATCCAATGTATTTTTTAGGCGATTGTTTAAACCACTTATTTACCACATCTGCCTTCTTCTGGTGCAGAATTGTGACGCATGTCTTGCATCTCAAATGTAAAAGTGAGAGAAAATGCAACAAGACCGTTCAGACTGCATGATTTGAAAACTATCAGATACATATCCCTTTTCAAAACCACAAGTCGTACAAGTCGGATTTTTATTTCTGTTTTGGGGTAAAATGCAATTTTGGTTGCATTTGTCTGGACTGTACATGTAGTCTTAGTTTACTTTGTGCATAGTTGTATTTTAAGCGCATGATTTCTTGTGGCTCTGTGTGTAGCAAGATCCTGGACACTACCACTTTGTTCCACTGTAGACTGTGTGTGTAGCTGGAATTACATATGACTAGTGTATAGTATGCAAGTTACACACTTTTAAATATCAAATCATTTCAGTAATGCATTATAGAAATGTTTTCATGCACCAAATATTATAATGAATACATTTTAATTATTAATAAAAAAAAACCCAATGAATAACTATTGCATATTTTTATACAAAAGCAGTCGCAAATCACATTACTGACCCAATAAATGGCTGAAATTTAAATTTCCTTGTAAGTAGTATTGGGAGTTATTAACAATTATATCTACTTTACATGTACAGGGAACACTCCTTCTGTTTATCGTAGATACCCCCAAATGTAAATGTAACTTTGGTGTGAAAATTCACAAAATAGATTTTTGCATGAACTTCTGTGATGGGTTAATGATGTATCCAGGTGTAACCCACCTCTTAACCAATGGCAGCGCAGCATCTACTTATCCTTGTAGGACTAAACCAGAATAACCAGGTATAAATGATGAATGGACCTGTGGCCTTATTTACACTGGACCTTGATCATGGCTGCTCTCAAACAAGCCTATAGGTTCAGGCTTCAGATTGAACTATTCTGAATTCCTTATTGGCAAACAAAAAAAAAAAAAAAAAAAAAAAAACAACGACCGTTGACTAAGACAGGCAAGATATCGGAGTAAAAGTAGGAGTCTCAACCTTTAAAACTTCTCCTGTAGGACAAAGATTGGTAGATATAATGTAGGCATGTCTGCACATCTCCATGCACTAAATGTTTTTGATCATTTGTTCTTTACACCCATTTATCCAACAACCAATAGCTACCCAATTCAGCCTATAGTGGGAGGCCAGTGAGTGAGACTTCATATTGTCATGAGTGTTTCAAGATAAATACGGAGGCCAGACGACTTTTCCACCGTCCCACCGCTTCACTCCCCATGTGGGAGTGAAGCTGCATGGGGAGATCTGAGATGTAATTACCCAATCAGTGTGTGCCATCCTTATTAAAACACTGCTAACAGAGCTCCATTATTGAAATACCCCCCACCGGACTCTTCTTAATTCATTAAATAAATTAGCACCAGCACCTTTAATAATTCATATGATGTCTACATATTTTCCTTCCCCACAGAGGGTAACTATGACAAAAAAAAAAAAAAAAACTATGGCAAAGAAGACAAGAACTGAAAAATGATAAAGAACTGGGTAGAGTAAAGAGTCAGTGTAAATGACTTTGTGTTTAAATTAAGAAAAATTAGTAAAATGGCTCTTACATCATCTGAATGGCTCATTTTAATAGTTTAGGTCATTATGCTATTCTTTTTGTTTCTAACAAGTGCAGTCCAACAATCCTATGACACCAACGTGCAGGTACCGTTAAGCTAATGCTAGCTCATGTGAAGAGGCATATCTTCATTTTTGTGTCACTTGGCTTCCTGATTGTCTCCTGTGTCCCTCTCTTTTGTGATGCATTATTGTGCTAATGAGTATATCCTTGAGCTAGGCGAAGAAGCTAAAAGACAAATCCAGGGAGGTACCAGACAGGGGGGATCTCGCTGTGTCTCTATGTATCTTTAATTGACACATCTGGATCTCTAATGAAATATTTACAGCCTCTGACGATGGCTCGGTGATGCGTGGCGATCAACGCTGCGTTGCCGACGGTGAACTCGACACGCTTCTGTGCTTGTGAAGTCATTAGCGCAGGTCCACTCCTTCCACAATCCCATACTCATGCAGATTTCCTGATTGCACACAAAATGTTAATGTGAAATAATGATTTTAAGGTTGTTGGTTTTTTTTATTTCTTTTTCCTATTTTTGGTGTATATATATTTTTTTTAAGGCAGAGTTAAACAATATTACAGGATGCCTTCTAGTGAGAAAGGTGATGTTCAAAGCAGATTGAATCTTTAAATATGAAAAGTGTTTTTCCTAAATGATTTATTCAACTTTGCACTTTTTCCCCATTTTGTCATGTTACAACTTTTAAATTAATGTTATTTGTATGGCATGTATGACAAAAGTATGGCATGGATATCTATTCAGTAGCCCTTTACTCCAATACCACAAGTTTGAATTCATTGCGATTCATTCTGCCAGCAGTTGCTAGTCTATAATTCCTGCAATAAGAAGTCCCATTTCATTTGCAGTTTGCCACAAGTTTTGTGTTAAACGCGTAATAATTACATAAGTTAATCGCGGCACTCTGCTGAGAATTTCTTCCAATTAAACTTTGTGGTGGTAAATCTACAGCCTGGACACATAATCTGTAAAACATGGTGGAGGCAGCATCATTTTGCAGGTTCTTTTTTAAAGTAATGACGGATAAAGAAAGTTCATGGGAAGATGGATGGACCTATGTACAGGGCATCCCGGAAGAAAAAGCTACAAAAGACTTGAGATTGAGCTATAATGCAAGGATTAGATTAACACAAGTCCACATATCAGAATGGCCTACTCAAAGTCAAAATCCAACTGAGAATGTGAGGCACCGTCTGAAAACCAATGTTGATGATTCCAGCCAGACCAAGCTTGAACTGTGTTGTCTGAAAAAACTTTAAATCTTTAAATAATCTGGAACTGCATCTAAAAAAAAAAAAACTATTTTTTTTTCCACCTCTCAACTTTGATTTGGCTTATCGCATAAAATCCACTGAAGTTCGTGTTTTCGATGTGGAAAAAAATGTTGGGGAGTCTCGGGGCAGAATGTTGTTTATGTGCTGCATGTCTTGGCTCACATTTGGAATTATGAAAGTATTCAAAAAGCATTTTTCTGTGTGAGTAATGCCTTCTACATCTGTATTTCTATTTGTGTAAGTGAACTGTTTGCCTATGGAT